ACGGCTCGCAGGAAAGACTGACAGTTATGGCATTTGTCTTCGATATCTCTGTCCATTGATGCTTAAAAGACGTAGCTTTGAGCCAACTATTTTTTTATTGATTCCAGGGTGACCACTGAAATTGCTTGAGCACTTTTTGGCGCGGGAATTCTGGGGAAATCCGTTCATCGAATATAACATATTAGTCGACAGCCATTAGTGAGTCACGTTGACAAAAGTATTTCAAACGTTCTCTCTGATAGCGGTGGTTTGGCCATCTAATAAAGAAAAACCCCTTGACTTAATGTCTAGCCATTTCTAATAGTTTCTTTGAAAGTAAACGTTAGTCCATCAACTTCATCATCCAATAGGCGACGAACTTCTTTCCCAGTTTTACCTATTAATCTCGATAAGGCATTAGTGTGTCCAAAATCTGTAATAGGCTGGTACTTGATCTTAAAATCGTTGCCTGGATGTATGGTTGCCCAATGTTGTAGCTGATGAGTCGTATAGGTAGCAATCCCTTTCCTTAACCCAAATATGGCTAGTAATGGTTAATGATCTCTCTATTTGGCTGTAGTTGCGTTGTCAACAGTCTGACCAAATAGATCACTTTTCCAGATCTGTCGGAGAAAATATGAAAGATGAGTGTCCCAATACCATAATTTTAAGCATCCACAATAGGTAAGAAGGAGTCATAATGTGTACGAAAGAATATGAAGGCTAGGGATTGCTTGATTTTCTCGAAAGCTGCTTTGGAGTTTGTGGGTTTGAGTTTTTTACCAGCAAGTGATTCAGTGAAGATTAAGAAGAAAAGTCCCGTAATGGCTAACCAGTCCAAAGAAAGATCACAGAGTAAAAATCTCAGTTGGTCTAGGCATGGTTTTTATAGCATCGATATTTTCTGGATCTGGTCGTCGTCCTTTATCTATTATGAGGCCAAGATATTGTACCTGTTGCATATAAAAGTCACGTTTCTGCACCGATACGGAAACCATATCCAGATATGTGTGATAGCACTAGGTAAAGTTTCTTTTGTAGTTCCATAATGATGTCATCCAAATAAGCTCACGCTCCTGAAATACCCTGTAAAATGGTATCCATAATTTGTTAGAATATAGCGACTTCCGTCTTGACTCCAAAGGCCAATCGATTATATTGGAATAGACCCTTGTTTGTCTTGATGATGGAATCTTTACACTCATCAGCTCCTAAGAAATCCAACTTTCCAAAAAACACAAGCGTACAACTTGGTGAAGAGATCTTCGGGCAAGAGTAAATGATACTGGTGAGTTTCTATAACTTTATTTGGCCCACTGGAGTAATTGGTACATGAGCGACCGCTACCGTTGGATATCTTAACTACCACTATCGGCGCAGTCCAATCTGAGAAGTTCACTAGTCCAATAATACTCATTTCTCGAAGTCGTCCGAGTTATTGTTCAACTACTGGGAGAACAGCATGATGCACAGGTCTTTTGGATCGGAATAATGACTTCGTCCGAAACCGAGAGGTAGGAATAGCTTCCGACTTTTACACTCCAGGAACGTCATCAAATACTTTCTGCTCAGCTGGGTTTTGTGGTAGTCTCTCATTGCCTCCACATAACTGCAGATTTGGTTTATGGGACGATCTGTTGATTTTAGTTTCTTGATCCAATCAAGTCCCAAGGTGTTCAGTGATATACAACATGCTCTCTTCTGTTATGTTTCTCTCAATGACTGTAATGTAATTCTCCAACAACAGTTGGCTTTCCGTCGGAAGCACTATGGGCTGACTGTTGAGTTGAATATATTTGAGGTCTAACAAAACTCTCATATTCTTCTGCTTATAAGCGAGATGTTAGAAGCCGTATACGGGCATCATACCCATTAATCATGAGATAAATATATTTTCTACGGTTATATGAACCGGTCCGGTTAAGGGTAATTGTTACCTTGGTCGTTCGCGGTTTGAATCTTCTAGAATATGCTTTCGGTTGTTAGTGACGTTTTCTGGCTTTAAAATGACTCTCTTTATGACTGACACAGTGAGTAATGACTTCATCGATTGGAATGCGAATGGGATATGAAACTTCTTTTTCCAATCGTGTGTGATATGGATTGAATAACATTTTAAGGATTACAGATGCTTAATTGCATAATATGACATATACTTACACAGTAATTTACTGAATTATTATCGTTAAATACAAATCTGTCTGTTAATCTAACCGTAAATAAGTAATATAAAGTGGTGTGTTTTCAAATCACTGATTTATTTTGGGGATTTAATAAATCCTTATCATCGGCCTTCGTACCTCTTCTCTTACATTCAAGCTGCTGTGTGGATTTAGCCCGGAGTTATTAGAAGCGTTGTTGTTAGGAAACGGGTACTAGGTAAGGATGGCAAATCAATTAATGAAGTGGTGAAACTTCATCAGTTGAGATGGCTGGGACATGTGTTACATATGCCCATGTCCATGAAGTCACTGACAAGTGGACTGAGTCATGTCGGTAGGTGTACACTACCTGGTTGGGGACCGCGAGATGATAGCAACCGATGGTTAGACCCTGAATGACATGGCTCAAAATCGTTTACAATGGCGCAGGTGCATCCACTCTTTGTGTTCTCCCAAATTTTAATCTCCTGATTCCTCCTTGTCTCTTTTTTCTTCTCCCAAATTTATTTCACTGGATTACATTCTTTACATAACATCTCCAAACCCTAATCTTCCAGATTGCTGCTTATACTCTTACTACCTCTACCACTAGGGGATTTGAATCGACAACTGCATTTCTGTGCTAATGTGCTATGGCAACTTGAACTGATGTATGTACGTACGATGTTCTACGTTGTTAATGACTGACTGACTATTAGAAACATTCAGTTGAAAGACTTATCAATGACCTTTTCTAGAACATGTAGTACAACAATGATTTCGAAACGGGAAAAATCTTTTGAAGCACTAACCTCCACAACCAGCATGGGAATGATGGCTTACCGCTGTCATTGCGTTAACTTTGTGTGGTTTAACCTTGTAAATTCCAAACTCACCGAAAGAGGGGTTTTGCTGAGACAGACACATCTGCACGATTTCTATGATTCTTGTTTGAAACTTTTCAAACTGTTTCTCTTGATGCTCTATGCAGGCTTCAAACTGTTCAAAAGAAATGTTCATTGTAGTTTTCTCCGTCGCTACTGATAAGTCCTAGGTTTTTTTAGTAAGCCTAAACTATATCTACACGACAAAATTAATACTGACGACAGAGTGGTACATAACACGTAGCTGTGATAAGCAGTATACCACGTTCTTTTTACAAACATTATCTGTTAACAAGTTCTTTACAACAAATGTACTGTTCTAAGAAAAACTACATCTCTAATATGTCATTTAATGGAATGCTCGTAGCCAGTCATTCTAGATTTACTGAAATATATCTAAATCTTATTAAAACTACCGAAATCGGGATTAAAGTCATGTCTTCAATCCAGTTCAGTTTAATAATTAACGATTTCTGCGATCTGTTGCAACTGCAAACATCAATCATATCAGCTTATAAATATGTAGTTATTAACCTGGTGTTGTTGCACAGCTTAACCAGCTGGTTGAGAATACAGTCCGCGATATTATATGTATTTCGGCTTTTGTCGCCTGCTCATATATATGCTTGCATAAAACCACCAAATAAAATATTTATGAATCCGTAAATATACAGTTCATAGGTTGTAGCAACTATAGAACTTTTTGTTACATACTAATTTTTCGGCGGCATTATATATACGACCTTAATGCATAGAAAATGCTCGAGGTGGAAGGCATATATGAGAAAATATCAGACTGGTTGAAGATTAATTGGTTTCTATCAATATGTTTACAACTTTAATCGATATGAGTAATCGAAGTGCACTAAAAAATAACTTTCTATATGTTTAGTAAGATTAGAAGTTTAAGTGGTTGTAAGTAATAATAACTTTGTACTTGTACGTAATCACATTGTAATACAAAATAAACGTCAATTGAAATAAGTTTTCCCAAAAACTTAATTGTATATTTTAAACAGATATATACATGGGTTTGTATGATTTACATGGTAGAAGTTTGTGTGGATTATGACACCTGAATTTAAACGAACCGGAAGGTATTTACAAACATGCATTTCAGTTTGCAGGTGTTACACTAGGAAGTCCGAATCAATGGATAGCTTTAGTTAACGATAATTTATATTTTTATCAAAAATAATTTTGAACTGATGGAGCTATAACTGTTCTTGCACAAAACATTCAACAGTTTTCAGACTATTTATCAGTGTTAAGCAGGCAGACAACTAATTGTGCTCAGATGTAAAACACTTTATCCGATAAATAAGTTAACTTGGAGGAAGCTAGGATTCCGGCAGTTAACACAAAATCAAGATTTTTCCAAAGTCAAATAAAAAAGAGATTATCAGAGCATAACGAAACCCGTTGCATTCCGAACGTTATACCATTTTCTGCCTATTGCTTAAAAAGTTAATCATGCAGGTTGTTGCTGTGATTCATCAACTTTGATATTACTCATCATTATAGTAGAAACTTAGCTGTTATACAGACAAACTTATGCCCGAAATGTGACTCAAAAAGAAGCAGGTAAGTTTGACTTACAATTCGCTAATCTTGTTTGGGTGCACAAATCAATGCCTTTGTCACATACTGAACACTAAAATGTCCGACACAACTCTTTTATATCACCTAAGTGAAGTTATACTGAGGAAAGTAATTTAAGTAGAGTTGGTACTTACTTTTATGTTTGTCAGTTTAGTTTGAATATTACTAATGTAGCTGCAACCTGGACGTATTTGTGAAAACTAGATTTAAAATTTTAATTTACACGAAATATTACGTTTACGAAACGTAATATTATTAACAGATAAAACCGTAACAAATGGTGTGTTTATGTCGTGATCTTCGTCTAATATAAAACCCACTAAACAAAGATCAAAGATGCCATTCAAGATTTCGTGACATTAGGCTTCCCAAACTATTTAAAAAGCTAGAAATTACGGTCAACTGTTATCTTATTTATCAAGTCGGAACAAAAAGAATATACAAAACAAGTTGATCGAAACAAATTAAGCTCTGATCATTTTCACGATGTATCGCATTACCCCAGAAGTTGTCAATTTGAAAGTAGTTGTCTGAAACACGCCTAAATTCTCGACATAAGTTAACCAGTCAAAAATGTTACCTCCAGGTCCGTAAGAAGCTTTACAAGCTAACAAAACGATCCCAGATTGACATAGACTAGTTTCAAGTATGTTGTGCAATCTTTCATATAGGTCTGTGCGGTAAATTGTTTCACTAGTAAAGATATAGTCAAACTTCACATTGGCGCTTGACTGCCAAAGCTTTGAAAGATGAAACCAGTCCCCGCTGTAGAATTCCAACTGAGTGTGTTCATTGTGGCTATCAGCATCATTTTGAGATCCTGAATTAATGATGATGTTAGGAATAGTCCAGCACTTTAAAACTTCGGAATTGTAATCCTTAAAAAAGAAAATAGTAAAAATACTGGTGAGAAAATGTGGTAAAGTGTGGCAAACTCTTCACAAAAACATTCACCACATGCAGACTTTCTATAGGACTTCACCATTCCTAGTGAGCTTTTATGTTAAATAATCAGACATAATTTATCTAGACACTTTCGGAAATAAACTTTAAAACTCCTATGATAAAATACTTTCATTCAATATTTAAATCGCAACCCGAGAACGTTATGCAACTCGACCAAATATTTCTTATCAAGATAAGGCTATAATATTACGCCAACACAACGCTGACTTAAAACAACCCGCTTACTTGGAACCTAACTAAGCGGGCACCAGCCTTGATAGCGAATATACCTGGTAGTCCACAACCACAACCTAGTTCTAAGACGTTTTTTTCACACATTCTTTCCGATAAATATTTTGATATGTAATCGACGAGATCCTTGCTGCCATCCCACAGAGTAAAACCACCTTCAATGAAGCCAGGTTTGACATCCTCACGTGCGTGAACAGCGTCGAATACATTGAGTTCACTTTTGGGCAGTTTGCGTAGATAATCATCGAGAACAGATTCAGCAATGTACCACAGTTCTGTAATAGAATAATGATAAATAAATTCTATTACTGTCTAGCATTTCAGAAGTACTTAAATATATTTTAAAACAGTCAATTACCTAAAAAAATCCTTGTGAGAAAATGGATACCCTTGCAAATGGTAAGTAAACAACTTAACACTTCATTCTATTACTGAGATACATCCATTTAAGTTAAATGAGACGAGACGACCACTGTTGCTTTCGAAGCATCATATGGTTGCCGTGATAACGTTGATTCAGTAACTTTATTTATACGCGCTCCATTCTACACTAAAAAGAGACTAATGGAAAAAACTAATCAAATAAGACATAAATTCTCGATATTAAGTCACTTTCAAAACGCATGCGCTTAGAAATAAGTGACGGTATTCACGTTACAACACGGTACAAATCCACAAAATTGGTGACTATTGGTTGTAATCATCCAAAAGAACGAAGAACTTGTTGGAAGGTGGAAGCATTGTTTGGAGACAACTGACAAGGAATGAAATCGACAGATGCCCATAATCGTGCTCAATTTGAATTTCTTATAACTACATAACTACTTCGAAAGAAGTCCCACTCACCGGATTGTGGCGGGGGCATTGTTTACGAAATTGAGAGAACGAAAAGCGAATGTCCGGCGCCAAAACCGGATTGGTGGGCACAGAGGACCCACAGATAATTAATTTCGCCCTCTCAGAACGCCCATCCATAGAAAAGTATACTATTCCACCTAGTTATCAAGTACATTTCTGCATTGCCACGGTTGATATGATGCTTATGAAATATTAGAGTAGAATATAAGATTGGTATTTGAGTCATTTTAATCTGTAGAAGTCACCCTCGTAAAAAATCATCTAATCGGTTTGCTACTGATTATGTAAAGAATATTTCTAAAGCAGAGTACAGTTCTCACAATTATTAAATATCAATTTAGTCATGTTTACTTTTTTGCGTTCTCTGGGAAAAAAAAGAATCTATAAGGAGCGGCCACGAGATATATCACTAGTTGATTAACTTTGATAATCGGCCGGTCTAACATTTAGTTTTATCTTTGAAAATTCAGTTAATAAATATTTTAGTATGTTATCTTACTGTACTGTGAAAACTATCCACCCAGTGTTGATATCTGTTTAGTACAAAGCTTGTTTTAAGTTATAATCATCTAAATGCAACCACTAATCTCTGAAAGAGATCTGTATATAAAAGTTTTAACTTACCCATAAAATACGTATATTCGCAGCTAAAATTAGTGTCCCTTCAGTCCTAATAGTTGGGAGTTTACTTGAGAATATTGGGCCTATAGTGTTGAAAAGTAAGTTCATGATTTTGCTAACTGCGTCTACCTATGTTTTTACAATTGCATCGATATTTATAATTGAGCAGCGAAAGTTCAGGTTATAGCACATCTGTTTAGTTTGTAATACGTCATCCATATACTTAAAGCCAAATTATTAAAGTGAGTCGCCTTAAAGAGCATATCAACAATACAACAACTTGAGTATTACGTCTTCTACTGCCTAGTATTCATGGATACCACTCGACTAGTCACAAAAGCAAAACATAACTTGGAGAAGAACATAAATATATTAAGGATATACTCCCTAAGCAGACAGTAAAGTTTACTTAGTAAATTATATATACACAAAAGTGATTATAATTATAATCACCCGTCATAATCACTACATCAAAGTATTTAGCTCTTTGAAGGAGATTATAATTGTTTTAGTATAACTGATATTGGATTTTATTTGGAATCTACCTAGTGGAAATGTATGCAAAGCTTCAAATTGAAAAATAGGGTTTATACCCCTCTTTCGAGCTCCTATTGTCTAATTTGATTTACATAGAGTCCGCAATCTGAATCGAGCCCAGGAACAACTTTTCTGCATTCATTTTTAATAATATACTTACACTAGTAGGATCATGAGGAATAAATAGCGAAATCAAAGACATATAAAGGAAGGGCTGAGCTTATCATTTATATTGACTGATGAATGACCATGTTTTTGGCCAGTGTGATCTGTCTAGGAAGTATATGTTTATATACTCACACAACATTTTAATGGATAGCAAAACTACCCAGGCGCTTAAACTGATCGCCCATGAGTCAGTTATGCAAATTTCGGAGATAGCATACGTCAATCATATTAGACTTCATACATGGGTCAAATACTGTGAGCTTTAAAACATAGCTAGGAGAAAGACTTCTGGAGATCAAATAAGGGTCAATGATAAGGCGAGAACCATTAATAGATTATTGAATTCAATTTCGAAATGTGCAAGAGAATTTAGAGGTATCCATGTTTGATACTTTTTAGTCATTATTACTACGACGACATTTCGTCCTGATAGGCTTTAGTGAAACTCGGTTAAGCATTGAGTGTTTCTTTGATATCAGAACGTGACTGCACAGCGCAACTAAACTGCTACAAAGAACAAGTCCGGTTACAGAGTTAAAATAGCGAATGCAGTCAGCCTAGTTGACATCAAGATTTTTCTTACGTTAGCTTATCAATGATTTTGTCTAAAACATGTCAGACACAATATATACCATCTAATAGCACGTTTGTTTGGACTTTTTGCATAAATGAGGTTATTTTGCAATAAATTAGAATTGTTAGAATATTTAAAACGAGACAATTATTAGTCAGCTTGTTGCATTTCATACTATTTTTTGACTGTAGTTAAATGAAATAGAATCATGTAAACAGACACTAGGAAAGTGAGGCAAGCCAAATATACTGTAAAAGACAAAATGTCTGCTTACTAGATTTACGATGGTTTCGAGTTACCTTAATAAAAACCATTATAAATACACAGTACACAGTAACACACATAAGCAGATTTGTAATTGATCGTAATAATTTATAAAAATGTATGTAAACTTACTTGAACCGTTTGCGATTGCATGAAAATCTGTGCGCAAATTTAAAACATCTCTGTAACCTGCGAAACATTGATAACACAGACTCAACTTACCATCACTTAAAGTGAATGATTGAACTAAGTTAGAATACGTCACAGTGTCATGTCGCTTGAATTCTTTGTCATCACTGTTCTCATAGAATTTAAATTCAAACTAAAAAAGAACACAGGAATTCAAAACCAGACATATACAGCGCACCACAAACAAGTAATACAAATAAACCATACTTCTCTGATTCATAACGAAACTGCATTCAGAAAAGATGATGAGTCCCAAGAAATTTAGTTTTTCTGCAAACCACATTTCTAAAACGTGCAGCTGGTCTTCAGTTAGATTGTCACTATGATCTACTGCTATTTAATACATGTCTACATTCTCCTATATACTTGGGAGATCTTAATAACTTGTTCACATACTATCCAGTTTGTAAAAAATGGCTTACAAGATGACGCTTTGCAAAGCGTCTACCATGGTAGATATTTTAGTTGAAGATTAACTGTTTTGAACCATGAAAACATTGTTCAAGCACAGCCTTTTACATGGTTAACTAACTTTTCTATCTACACATCACTATGGATGAATATCACCACAGATTTCTAACCAAACATGAACATATATAATAGTAGTATTTAGAGTTAGTGGTTGCGGTAAAACTGAACTACAAGGGCAATTTAATGATAGACATGAAAATAATAGCAATGAGACGTGGTTGGTATGTGGAATTTAGGACTGAAGTCTACGATTTCACAAGCAACCGATAAAGCGGAAATAAAGGGGAAAATATATTGAAAATTCAAGTGGAAATAATGGGGAAACGTACCTAAATGTCTGCTTTTTCGCATGTCAGAGGGAGAAAAAATGTCAATTTTCCTCTTTATGTCGCTGAGTTGTTTACTTTTCGCCCAAAATCGACCCCCCCCCCATTATTTACGCTTTTGTCTGCTATATTTCCCCTTTATTGGTTCCTTGAGTTGAAGTCTGGAATCAGCATTTATAAGCCTGTGACAAAAGCCTTAACTCAAATCCACGAACACTAACTTTTAACTCTAAATCCTAATCGTTATTCACCAAACTAGCTAATAACCCTCTTTCGATCCTAGTTTGTAGATGAATTGCCTCAAGATCACCTTAACACCACTCAGAGATATTCCACCAGTTACAGTTTTAACACGATTGACTATATCAATTAAATTCAAATAAGTCATTACTGTCTCGATAAGTTAATCCACATTGCAATGAGAACTGTAATTACCATGAAGTTCGAAACGTCTAAAATTTTACATTTATATTCAATTGTGAAAATACAAGGTCAGGTGGCTTATGTTAATCCTTGCCCTTTGTAATATTGTGATGAGTTGATCTTATTTTTTCTTATCAAACATAGGTATTGATAGTACGTATTCTAGTGGAGAATCCCAGTAATCCAGGACCTCTTGTCGAAATAGAAACGTAAGACGTAAATCATTCGTTGTTCCTAAACGTTTTGAGAATCCCTCTCAAATAATTGGTCGTAGGTAGGAAAAAGGTAGAGAAAATAATAAACGAACTTAATATTTATGATATAATGAATCAATACTAATGTATATAGTTTAAGGCGTCCAAGTAAATCATAATAACACAGATAACGCAGACCATCCCGAGCTCCCAAATCTGGGAAACGTTTGAACAACTTTCGGTGAATTTTGGGGAAGCCGCTATAGTGAACTTTGAGGAAATTTCGGGAGAATGGCACCGAAACCTCAAATTTTCCCCAGGTCTGAGAAAATCCTCAACTATTTCCCAAAAATTTCCCTTTAACCTTGGTCCAGGTCGTTTGACTTTGGAGGTTTCCCCGAAATTCTTCAAACTTGGGAGATTGGGATCCACAATTTTGTCCATCGTCTTGGTCCACTAACCATGTATGGAAAGCGCCTGACCGTTTGAATCCAATCTTCTGAGTTGTTTTTTGCAAAATGGGTGAAAATTGAGAACACATTCTAATTTAAATCCTGATATTCTTATTTATCAGAAAATGTCTAGCTGATCAAAACGTGTAAATTATCGGGGCTGAAGTCTTGTAGCGGTAACTAAATACTCGAAAGAAATAGCTTTGTAGCGGCAAATAAATCCCCAAAATAAATATCTCTGTACGTTTTCGACATTGAATGCTAACCACATTAGTTTTAATGGACCCACCTAGCTGAAGGCGCTCGGTCATGCATACGAACCAGATCACGAGTGGGAACACCGTGCTCAACAACCCATGCAGTCGCTAGCCAGATTAGATCAGACGATCCTCGATATATTGATAGCCTATCAAATATATCTTCGAACCTTCTCGATTCTGTCTTTTGATTTCACTTGGTGGGTACGATTCCTATTAGAAGGTGTAAATGGTTGAAGCGTTGTCGAACTCCGAATACCTGTGGTATTTTCAGGTTAGTGAGTCTTCAAAAATTGATGTTGACCTCATTTGTTTTATTGTACACCTTTAAGCTGCAGGCGCCAGGTCGTGTTACTCATACATTGTAACCGTTAGCCAGCTTAGATAAAACGTTTCCCGATGTACTGATAGTCTTCCAAATATATCTTTGAATCACTTCATTTCTCGCTTCTCATTTTAGTTAGACGGCATACTTTGGTTATAAATGTGTTACATGTGAGGGCAATGTCGAAATCCGAATACTTTTGTCATCTTTAGTATGGCCCTTTCGTTCTCAATATATTGACATGTTGCATTCGTCTTATGGCCAGTTCTATACGTACTTTCGCATGAGAAACAAATCAAACAGAGTAACGAAATTCAACCTAAACTGAATTTTTTTCAAGTCGTAACACATAATTTTAATGCTAAACCACAAGTTATTTCATTTGATTAGAGAATAAACTACAACCACTTGTCTGTATAGATTTGTTCAAAATCAGTTCAGTGTGTAGAGTAATTAATATGTTTATTTGACTCTAATTTCACCAACCGTGTTCCCATGACCTACTGAGTTACTTTTTTAGACCTGTCGCTCCTCAGAGGGCATAAAACAATAGTCGGGAATCTCCAAATAACTTTACCCTAGATTTGTAACAACTCGGGTTGATTGGTTAATAGTTGACCGCAAACATCTAAGTAAGTGTGACAACCCTATAGTTTAAGTATTCATCCACCTCTTTACTTTCTTTCGGCATTAGATTTCCTGTTATTTTATATTGAATGTTGAAAAGCTCCGTGTTTTTGAAAATGTAACCTCACACTTTATTGCACTGTTCACAAACTAAATAAAGAACAAGTCAATACTTGTCTGGTTCCTTCAATCAATGGAACAGGGGTAATATACTGCTATGAAAGGCTTGTTTTTCCGACTATTCAGATTCATATTTGTGTAGTAAGGACAGAAGGCCTACAGTCTATATTATTCCTTTTCTAGTATGATTCTGTGAGTCTCCAGTCTTCTCTTCAATGAGTCAATCGAAGGTGCGGTCACCACTGCTTTGGGTGACAGGTTCCAAGTATTAATGACTCAGTGTGAAAACCTGTATACCATGAGCATTTTGTTCATCCTTGGCTTTTCTGCCCGCCTGGTATGTCCTCTGAGATGTCTCGACCTAGTGGGAACAAAAAGAGAGAATATGTTAGGTCTAACATCACTTCTTAGTATTCTGTACAGCAAAATTAGGTCTCTCCTTGATCTGCGATAGGACAAAGTAAAGAGGGTGTAGGGTCGGTGAAATTCCACTGAGCCTTAGCCAAATCATCCGGCAGTTGGGTCGTTGAATATCAAACGAATCATCGATCCTCGTCAAGGTTAAGGGCGACCAACGCGCATCAGTTAATCGTGCGCCATGGGCTCGCTCATGCGGCGGTGGTCTTACTTTCGCTTGTATCTACTTTAATTAGTATAGCTATGTAATGTATGTTCTACAGTCTTCAAAGCATCTATAGTAACTTGATACGTCGATGGGGTAGTCCATTTAAGGTGCTGACCATGAGGTGTGACTTCGACGTTAGTTCGTCATACCATTCCCGTCTAACTCGAGTAAGCCTCCGATCATTTTGACATAGATCATCCACGTTGGTGATCTATGAGGTCCAGCTTTTCAAGCCGCTCTTAGTATGGTAAACCGCGGAGTTGTGAAACTGCTCAGGCAGCCGCCCTCTTTACTTTTTCCAGGATATCCGAGTCATCTTTTAGGCAGTGGCTTGCAGCCTGACAGCAGTTCTCGAGCTTGGATCTCTCTAAGGTTGTGTATACTGTAGTGAACATGGTAGTATCTAACTTAGTGAATGTCCGTTTTGAAGCCCAGAGGGTTCTAAATCCCTTAGCTGCGTTCTCCTGGCAATGGGCCGTTGTCTTAAGATCATGAACCACTGTTGCTCCAAGATCCCTATGAGATCGACCCACAGGTACAGGCACTTCTCCCATGGTGTACCTGATAACATTCGTATCTCCAAATTGCATGTAGGCGCACTTTGCTGCGTTGATAGGCATCAGCCACTTTTTAGACCAGTTAACCACATTATTTAAGCTCGCCTGAAGTGCGCACGTGGATCCGTCTCCGGTTATTACTCGCCAGATTATTACATAGTCAGCGTAAAACAACATTGGGGACTTTACTGTATTTGGGAGATTATTTACATGCAGTATAAAAAGTGAAGGACATAAAACGGAGCCTTGAGGTACTTCATTAAGTACTGGACTCCAGGTGGAGCACTTGGAATTTATTCTTACTTTTTGTCTACGACCTACTGGAAAATCTTTAAGCCATTTTAAAATAGGTCTGGCAATACCAATATCTTCTAAATTCAATAGCAGTCTGTTTGTTGGCACCTTATCAAGTACCTTACTGAAGTCTGTGTAGACAACATCCACTGAGTTTCTGTTGCCTAGCGCTTTTATCCAATATTCTTTAGCTATAATGAGGTTCGTCATACAAGATAAACTCTTTCTGAAACCATGTTGTTTGATGTTTAACAGGTTATTTGTTTCCACAAATGTTCCGTCTGACTATTCTTTCAAACATTTTAACTACGACGCTGACGAGGCTTACAGGTATGTAATTCGATGCAGGTTGTCTTGATCCTGTTTTATTTGTGGGAGCAAAGATTGTGTCCTTTCAGTCCATAGGTAACACACCTTGGTCAAGTGACATGTTGAATATCACAGTCAGTGGGGCCGCGATATATTGTGCAATATGTCTCAAGATTTTGGGGTGTAGTCCATATGGTCCTGTTGACCTTTCCATGCCCAAGGTGCTAAGAGCCCTAAGTACATTGCCGTGATCAAAGTTCACGGTGGGCAGTTGGTCTGTTGACCCTGTATTTTAGGTCTGGTTCTTTGTCCAGAAGAGGTTCCTGAGTGAAAACCGCCCTGAAATAGTTATCTATAGCCTCTACTTTTTCCTGATCTTGCTCCATCATTCCAGATTTATCCCCTTTTTTAATTAGGTTGGAGATCCATTGATGCATCCTTTTTCTGTAGTTTAGGTTTGAGAATAATTTCTTAGACTGCTGGAGTGCAGATCGTGCCAATTGCGTTTCATATTTCCTCCGAGGTTCCTGAATTCTAATTATACACGTGTTTCTTAACGATCTGCAGATTTCCACGTTACATGCTGTGCCAAGGCTGATAGAAGCATTCCAACATTTCTTCTTTGTTTTAGTAAACGTCGAATATCCCGGTCTATCCAGGAATGGCCATGCTTCTTCTACTTTTGGACCGTCTAGGGTATGTATGGTCGAGTTGTCTGATTATATAACTTCCAGGAGTGAGTCCATGCCTCTTGTACTGATGTCTTTGAGTCAATTTCACAGTTTTCAGCAGACGCTGCGGAGTTGATTGCCTCAAAGTCTGCCGTTTATATATTAGGACTGGCCGGCGCAAATGTTTGACAGGCCATCTCAGCCATGAATCTAAATAATATGACTGCATGATCGCTTCTTCCTAGAGGAGGGAGGAAAGCCATTTAACCAACGTCATCACTGTGTATGACGACCTAATCCAAAAGAGAGGAGGAGCTTCGTATGTCATATCCTATGGGACCTCTAACATGTTGGTATAATGCTAATGCGTTCGAGGTTTCTAACAGTTTGCAGTCTAATGACGTTATCGATTACCCTACTTCTAAGTTAACCCAGTTTATATACGGTGCAGCAAAGTCGCCAACTGTAAGGCCTTTACCCCTATTACACCAGAACTTAGGTTTAATTAGGAGGAAATCATCTACTACACATTCTAGACTGCGATACACTATAACTCATTGAACATCTTGCCGTCTACATTTCCGCTTGAAACGCTCTAGTTCACATGTCCCTGAATCATATACCACTATCTCAACTACTCGTACGTTAAGGGTACTTTTCGTTCACAGTGTTCTCTTGATTTTCAATTCTCAGAGACATTAGTTCTTTGATCTGGCTATTTTCATTTTTTCTTCGGGATCATAAGTTAGCCCTTTCAACTTTACACTACGACAAAGCGATTTGTTGCAGATACTATCCAGCCAGTGGATCTGAAATATTTTTTGCACACACCTGTTTAGGAATGTATATACTTTTTATTATTATTATTCACAAACATCTTATGGGTACATAAGTGATGTGAAGAAACCATTTCGGGTTTCTTCAAGAAATACAATAATACATAATTTTCAATAATGTCAGCATTATACTTGCCATTTAAAAAAGCATTTAGAGCAATAATAGTAGAATATTAATAATAATAAATCGGTTCTGTGTAATCGAGAAGAATATTGAATTGAGTTTAAAGAAGGAAATGGATAAAATAAGGGAATAGAAATAAAGGAGACGTGAAATACGCAAACAGTCTAACAGGCGTGTTTATGAACACAGAGCAAGAATAAACGACTATGTGTGCATCGTTAAATTAGTAACAAAAGTAATTAAGAAAAAATA